CGGTTTACCTTTCTTTTGATATATATTAAGAGTTGCAAATCATTTGTAGTGGTTCAGAAAAATTAAGTTTTCTTACAACTTTGCAAAATTTGAAAAGTTGAACCTACACTTTGAAGGTGCTCCTGGCTTTGAATGTGCTGAGGGCGGAACGTACCCATGGTGCTCCTGGCGATGAAGGAGCTGAGGATAGAAGGTACTGGTGGTGCTCCTGGCGATGAAGAAGCTGAGGGCAGAAGGTTTTAATGGTGCTCCTGGCGATGAAGATGCAAGCGTTGAAGGTACTGATGGTGAATCCCAAATCTGTAAACAAACAAAAATATCAATTCAAATTTATCAACATATAAAAAGTCTCAATACCTACCTTAAGAATGTGACTAAGTCGCTGCTGTTTTGCAATCTAAAAGAAGAAATTACATTCTAGTTAAATAAAATTGTTAAATACGTATCCTTACCTTCAAAATTTTCGCAGCGACATTTCTTCACAGTATGTATACTGTCATAAGAACTCCGATGTTTCTAACTTGCTCGCTCTAACGCATAGAATTCTTATTAGAGTACGAATTCATATCGGGTATGTAACTCTAACAAAGGGACATTTTTTTGACAGTTCGAACAAAAAATTTGTAAGTGTGTGGGTGAGATGACTAAAAAGTTGTGAATGTAGTTGTAAATCGTTTGATTTTCAGGGGAAAGTGGTGAGCCGTGGCTGGTAGGGAAAATAAACTTAAAGAAAGTTTTTTTTTTAGTTTTCAATTCCCAACAAGCACTTCAGTAAACGTTTTTAAAAATAACTTAAATTAAGTTTGCTATAATAAGCGTTAAATAAGCATTTTTAATATTATGCTTATTAAAAGTTTTTTCAAATAAACCTTTAATAAGTTTTGAGAGCGAATGTTTATAAATAACTTAAACTTATAAATGAAATGTAAATGCCAACGACATGAGGTAGTAAATATAAAATTTTTTCAATCGTAAAGGCGCTGGCCCAATGCAGGCTTGCTTTGCGCGCCTTGTCTTCTTCAATTTGCTTTGATTTACTTTGAAAACTTGCTTGGCCGAATGGTGGCTTGGAACGCTGTCAAAGTAACCAGCTGTCTGGTTGAAAAGTCAATGTCTGTTCCCTTAACGTTAATAATTATTTCCTAGAAAACTCTAAAAAATTTATCAAAAACTTTCAGATTTATTTTTAAATTAATGCGAAATAATGTTTGTATTTAAAAGAAATGATAATAATGATACATATATATCTATATCTACATTTACTAAAAAAAAACTATAACTTAAAAAAGCGATTTACTTGATGAAAAGAGCTATAAAAGTTTTTCCTCTCGTGTAAAATTTGTAAATGTGGGCTTTGCATCATTTTACTATAAGATAGCAGATATGTTAAATATAAATATAGAAACAATGAATAATTTGTATTTAATTTCGAATTACCTGCATTTTCTGTGACTTTTTTAAATTAAGTAAGCAAATTTTTGTTTGAATTTATGTATTTTGAAAGGAACATACCTCCTTGTCAAAATCCTACAAAACGCTTTCAAATAAAACATTTGCTTATTTCAAACTTTGACGCGCTTAAAGCAAGTGAAGAAAAGCTGCCATTTGGCCAGCCTTTATACGTTTTAGTATATTCCAAATAATTGTTGACACTTCTCACAGCGAAGCAATCAAAGCAAGCCTGCATTGGGCCAGCACCTTAAGTGACGTGTTTACGTTTTTTAAAATATATTATTAAAAGAAAAAATTAAATAAAACCGATGTGGTAAAAAAAAGTCCAATCCAGGACCCGCTGCGCTAATCGGTGGAGCATTCGAGTCTTAAAATGATGAGTTCCCCTTATCCTTTCTTAGTTTAACATTCAATTCCAAATGTATTAAATTTTTTTCAGAAAAGTTCATCAATGAGAATGGCGGCGATGAAGCGGAATATACAGCGTGGCGACGAATAACTGTTACCCAGGTTTTTTT